GGAAAGATACAAAAGGGATCCAAATTGCAAAAAAGAAAGATTACCATTTTTTGCAGATGACTGATAATATACTTTAAAATTATAACACCAACAAATGGTATTGGGAAAATTGGCAGCAAAGGCAAAAGTGTAGATTACCATTTCACACTTAATGTAAAAAATTAAGTTAAAATTGACTAAAAACTTGCATTAAAGACCTGAAAAGATATCTAATACATTGAAGAAAACACAGATAAGACACTCTGACATTAACTTCAGGGATAGCTTCATTTACAAAGGCAAGAAAAATAGAATATAAATAAATGATATATTATCAAACTGAAAATCTTTTGCACATCAAAAAAAACATTAAAACAAGAAGTACTACTGAATGGGAGAAAATACTTGTGTAGAATACATTGGAAACCAAATAGAAAATCAAATCAGTGATCTTGAATATAATTGTTTCAAGTGCACAGCTGTAAGAAAAAGAAAACTTCCCAAATCTGGGGAAGAAACTAAACAGGTCCATGAAGCTAAAAAAATACCAGGTTCTTTTAGGGGCTAATTAATATATAAGATCTATATAAAACTCACAAAAAGCAAACAAATAGCCCAATTAAAAAAAAATGGACAAAAGAGCTATAGCCACTGATCCAAAGAAGACATATAGATGGCCAAAAACACATTAAAAAATGCTCATCATCATTCATCATCAGGGAAATGCAAATCAAAACCACAATGAAATACCACCTCATACTTGTGAGAATGGCCTGTATCAAAAAGACTAAACAGCCATTGTTGGTGAGAAAATAAAGAAAAAGGAACCCTCATACACTGTTGGTGGGAATTATAGCAGTATGGTTATTTCCTAAAACATTAAAAATTGATCTACTATACAATCCAGCAGTTCCATTCCTAGGTATCTACCTAAAGAATGCAAGAAAAGTAATTCAAAGGAATATGTACACTGCTATATTTATTGTAGCACTATTTACAATAGCCAAGTGATGTAATCAACATAAGAGCCCAAAGATAAGTAAATTAAAGATATGTGGTATGTTTATATGTAGAGTATTACTTAACAATGAAAAAGATGTACACTTTTGTGACAACATGAATGGAAGTGCAGGGGATAATGCTGAACAAAGTATAAGTTATCACGCGAGTAATATTGCATGGTTTCTTACTACGTGGGAATATATAATGAAACAAGACAAAGGATCAATCAAAACCAAACAAAAACAAGCCTTAGAAATATAACTATAGAATTGATCTCAGAGGGTAAGGGGGAGGGTGAAGAAAAAAAGATGGAAAAGGGCAAATGAATTATGGCAAAACACTAAGGGGCCTTGCTGTTATGCTTGGTGTGGTAGCACATACTTGCAGGGGTGGGATACTGTATTTCTGAATTATATACAATGTTGTAAACCAGTGTTGCATAGTGAAAAATTTATGTAAGAAAACTCCACAAAGACTGCATCAAAATGCTATTATGAACAATAGATGAATATTGCAAAATAGTAGGTTACAAAATTAATAAAGATCTATTGCTTTTTTACATACAGATACAAACTTAAATAATTTTGTTCACAATTACATAAAGAAAAAAAATCAGACCTAGTAATTAACCTAACCAATCAGGTGAAGCACTACACAATGAAACTGTAAGAGTCTACTAGTGGGTATGTATCGTGATATAAGGAGATAAAATGTAGTCAATGTCATGAATGGGAAAATTAATATAGTCAAAATGACTCTGCTACCAAAAGCTATATATAAATTTATTGCAATCCCTATTGAAATGCCAAATGATATTCTCGAAGATAGAACAGAACTGTAACAATATATGGAATCATGAAAGTCATCAGTTAAAGCAATTCTGAGAAAAATGAAGAGGAACAGAGGTATTATATTTCCTGACTTTATATGATAAAGCTACAGTTATTAAATACAGTATTGAAATAAAAAGATATATATTGAAAGTACAGTAAAAAGTTCAAATATACCAGAAGAACTCATGATGAAGGAGCTGCAACTCTACAGTGGGAGATGGAGAGTGTAGTGAATGGTCCTGGGGAAATTGGATCACTCTCACTCTGCATTCAAAAATAGATACAATCCCTGCAACACTAAAATATATAGAAGAAAATATTCGTGAAACAATTCATCATATCAATTATAAAGATATTTTTGGAGACCCTACTTCTATGCCAAAGGAAATATGGCAAAAATAAAAGTTCCCTTAAATTAGAAAGCTTTATACAGCCAAAGAAATAATAGATTAAAAAGACATCCTGCCAAATTTGAGAAAATATTCACAAATTACACAAATGACAAGGGGATAACATCCAAAATATACAAAACTTAATCTAAGGAAAACCAACCCAATCAATAAATATTCAGCAGATCTGAGCAATTCACCAAAGAGGATTTCCAGAATAGATACATGGAAAAGGATCATTATCTCTTTTAATAAGGAAGATGCTGGTTAAACCCTCCCTTAAAGTTACCACATACCCATGAGAATGGAACATACTAAAAAGACCTCCAACAAGAAGTGCTGGAGAAGATGTGGAGAAAGAGAGCCCTGTTACATTGTGGGCCAGTAGAATACAATCATCGTGGAAAGTGATCTGGATTCACCTTAAAGCAAAAATGGAAATATCTTAGACATCTGCCCAAAGAATGTGAAATTTACTAACTCTGTATGTTCTACAGTGTCTACTGTAGCATTATTCACAATAGCTAGGACATGGAAATAACCTATTTGCCCACTGGAAAGAGAGGATTGGATTAAGATAATTGGATTAGGAAATGGAATACTCATTTGATAAGAAATATGAAGTGTTACCATTTATAGCAAAATGTGAGGAGTTAAGGGAATTATGTATCAGAATGACAAAGACAAATTTTACATAACAGATTATTCAGCAAAGCAGCATACACATAAAAACTACCTGATGCTAATAAAGGAAGTGATGTTTCTGATTTGGGAGTGTGGAGAGAGAGGATGCAAGTATATAGGTGGGGGGAAAAAGTTTTTTTTAAATAAAGAAATAGGTACTTAGAGATTTGACTGTGAGGAAGTTTTTGAGTTACCTGCTTTCTTATAGGAAGAGCATATGGGTCTCTACTTGCTTTTCCTGAGTCTTTTATTTAGCTTACTAAGCCACTGGGCAATATATAATTACAATTGTCCATTAAGTTTTATTGAATTGTTGATAAGACATGAATATAGCAGAAGCTAACTTTATAATATACCATAAGTTTAGTAATATTTTACTTGAACTTTCAAAAATATAACTTACTTAAGCAGGTGCTATCTAAAGAACAGCAATGTATATGATTGTATGGCATCTATATTTTATTCTTTTAAAACTATGTCTTGATGTGATTTAAAATTGGGCTGCCCAGAGTACCCCATGAGAATTAGTTCTTGATTACTCATAGTGTTGAAGGCAGGATTTTCAAAATGGCAGTTATTGTATACTCACTTTCAAGTTCTCATAAGCAAATGAATAGAGGAAAAATGTAGTTGATTGAGCAATAAGGGAGTAACGCTAGATTTAAATGGATTTAGAAATGAGTCTGAAAAAGTTGATTTGAAGGGAAGGAGAAAAATTGATACCTGGAGAAAGAGAGAATTGAGGGAAATAATTTTTAATTTTTACTTATTTTTAATGGGAAGGACTTAAGTCCAGTTCAAAGATATGGGAGGAGTTATTGAGAAAGTTGACTAGGTAAGAGAGAAAAGATCTAATCAATTTTTAAATGTTCCTGAAAATGGTAGGGAATAATAGAATCTAGGTCAGAGCCTTAGATAGTGTAAAAGAAATTTCTCCTTAGGACTGGAACTAGAATAAACCAAAGATACATGCAAATGTAGGCAGATTTTATGGTTTCTAGTTTCTCTGTGAAGTTGAATTTAAGTTACCTAATAAGTGAAGGGGAAGCCATTGATTGGGATTATGAGTAAAGGGGAGAATAAGAGTAAAAACTCATTACGGTTCATAAATTTTTAGTGGAACATATTTGCACTGCTTCATTACTTTCACTTACAGTAGGGTTTGGTGACAGAACCAAATGCTTGGGAGAAAATTTCATTCAAAACCAGGATTCTGGTTTTGCAAGACACTTACATTTAGAATATAATCAAGTGTTGTTGAAATAATCAATCATGAAATCAAAGCTTGATGAGAGAAGTAAAGAAAGAATAAAAAGCTGATTAACTGGGAAAAACATAATTCAAGGGGGATATAGTTTGATTTGGATATAGCCTTTTTTGATGAGAGATAGTTCCCAGACCTTAAAATTCTCCCTTTTATGGTTCAGCTTTGCAACCATCACCATTATCTAATGACAAAACATTTTCATTACCTCAGAAGGAATCTTTAATCCTTTAGGAGTCATACCCCTATGCCCCCCTTTTCTTGGCAACCGTTAATCTTTTTCTGTGTATTCATTTGACTATTCTGGATTTTTCACTTAAATAGAATCGTAACTTGTAGCTTTTGTATCTGACTTATTTCACTTAAAGGTTTTCAAGGTTGATCTATGTTGTGGTATATACTTCATTCTTTTTCATTGCACAATAATCAGCACATTTTATGCATCCATTTATCAATTGATGGACATTTTGATCATTTGGGGATGTTAATGCTGCTGTGAACATTTATGTGTAAGTTTTTGTATGAACAAAAGTTTTATTTTCTCTTGGTTATATAACTAGATGTGGAATTGCTGGGTCATGAACTGTTTAACCACATGAGGAACTACCAAACTGTTCTTGAAAGTTGCATGCACCATTTTACATTTTCCTAGCAAAATATGAGGGGGGGGGTCCCAGTTTCTCTCCAAATTTCATCCTTACCAACACTTGCTGTTTCTGCCTTTTTAAATAACCATCCTAATGTATTTATATACCTTTTAAAAGCTAATTATGTAATATGCAAGACAACTCTTGATCTTCATGTAATAGAACTTTATCAATAAAATTAGTATTTTCTTACCATTCTTAGTGCCTGGCTTTCTGGCTATGAAAACCCTGTGGTGTCTCGAATAAATATGAGAATACAAGATCTAACAGGACTAGATGTTTCCACAGCAGAGGAATTACAGGTAAATATTAAAGATTATCCTTAAATTATATGTTACCACATTTATCTTTAAGTTTTCTTTACACTTTACAAAAGATGCTTTAGATGAGATTTCCTAACAACCCCCAGGCAGTGCTAAATATGTTTGTTAGTTTGGAACAGTAAATATGTAAGCTAAAGATGCAAAAGATACCCTAATAATCAATGGCAAAATTGTTATCTTTAAAATATGTCAAAATATTGAAGATTCTTCCTGTTGTGAGTATAAATTATAACTTCCATTTATATGAAAATACATAGCACTAATGTTTATTAAATGTACTACAGTTTTTTATTTTTTTTCTTTTCAAATTCCTAGGTCTGTCAGGTTTCCAGGGCAGTTTTTTTTTTTTTAAATAATTTTCTCCATTTTTATTGAGATATAATTTTT